TAATTTGTTTTGATCGGCCATCTCGTCGCGCAAATAAATTAATCCAATTCGTAATTTACTTGGATAAAGTATTTTTTTATTCCAATAATGGCTACGTGTTGTTTCCCTAAGTGCCCGAACGGCCAAAAAATTTCTTCGCGGCATGTCACTGTCTACTGCTGGCTTTGTGATAATATCGCCCACATTGGATGCGCCGATCTGGGGCAAAATGGATCGCGTATCACCGACCGCATTCGCGAAAATCCTGGATTGGACTGGACGTGCCCGAGCTGCCTGCATATCAAATCCGATATGCGGGTCTTCATGAGGCAGACTCACCTGGAGTTTCAGTCGTTGGCGGCCGGCTTTAAGGAGTTGTCAACTCGCTTCCAGAAGGCGGAACACCATTTCAAGTCGCTTAAACTGCTAAGTGACCCCGTAAACAAAAACAAGAGCAACCTGTCTGAAAAGTTCTTATCTCTTCCAGACCCTGAATGCCCCCTTATGCAGTTCACCCCACGTGCCAAGCCTGCAGCCGTGGATAACGGCTCTGGTGATGATGCATCATCGATCACAACTTCTATGGTTGAAGATCTTGTCAGGCCGTTGGATCAGCAGCCTGTCAATGTTGTCCAGGCGTCCACGTTGCACGCTGCTGCCTCTGCTGAAGTTGCTGCACCAGTCCCCATTCTCGGAGGGGGCGAAGCCACCATGCTCCCGGTTCAGCAGCCTGTCTACACCGATCAGGCATCCACGTCGCGTGCTGCTGCCATCAACGACGCGTCGGTGGTGTCAAATCCCAACCCAGTGGCTCCCCCGGTGGTCACTATCTCGGTGCCGGCCGTTACCAGAAGCGGCCCCCAACAGTCGACAATTTCTGGCGTTGCCAAACGCGGACCGGTGCCTTTGGCTGGTGTTGCTCCGAAAAAACAGATATTTGTTTCCCGCCTCAATCCAGATGCTTCTGAGGGCGACGTTAAGACCCACTTGAGCAGCAAATTGAATGTTTCTGTTACTGAATTTAGTGTCTCCAAATTCAATTTTAAGGAAAGACGTGATATATCTTCGTTTAAAATTACAATTTCTGACCAACTATTTTCTAAGGCTCTTGATCCTTCTGTGTGGCCTAAGCATGCAATTGTTCATGAATTCGAACACAAAAGTACTCCTCGTGCTCGCGGGCCTCAAACTCCCTCAACTAGGCCTCCAAAAAACCAATAGACTCTTTTGTTCTTCACTATCAGAATGTTCGTAGTTTACTTGGCAAGCTCAGTAGGCTGCACGTCAATAGTGTCTCTTTCGATGCCAATGTTATTGTCTTTACAGAAACATGGCTCAACTCCTCTGTGTCTGACTCTGAGATTTTTTCAGGGAACTATGCCATCTTTAGACGTGATCGTCCTATACGGACAGGCGGTGGTGTTCTCATTGCGGTTAAATCCGATCTGGTTTCCAATATCATTTCTAAAACTGACACTGATATAGAGTTTGTGGCGGTTCGCATCCAGGTTTACGATTATTCTATCTACGTTTCATGCTCGTATATTCCACCTAGGTCTGACACTGATATTTATATGCAGCATTTATCCTTAATTCAAGAAATTCATTCTTCCCTTGGTATTAATGACCACCTTATCGTCACGGGTGATTTTAATCTACCCTCCATTTCCTGGATGCCCTTACCTGATTCAAATGTTCTTGTTCCCACCTCACCCCACGATTTAATTCATGGTCTCATTGACCATTCATTGGGACAATTAAATTTTGTTAGAAACTGCAGTAATAACGTCTTAGACCTCATCTTTGTCTCTGAGTTTGCCAATGCCTACGTCACTAGAATTGACCCTCTTTCTAGTCCTGAGGACGCTTATCATCCCACTTTGGAGTTAACCCTCGAAGCCTCCACACCATTATTATTGTGTCCGGAAGCTGAGCCTGCAACGTTTCGTTGCTTTCGAAAAGCTAAGTTTACAGAAATGAACCACCACTTATCCTTAACGGATTGGACTTTCTTGAACTCCACAGAGGATCCCTCAGACATTGTTAAGCGTTTCTATGAAATAATGTACTCAGTTTTCGACATGTATGTCCCTTCATTTCCCTCACCAGAAGTTTCTCATAAGCCCCCTTGGTTTTCTCGTCGGCTTTCATATCTAAAAAATCTGAAATCCAGACTGTTTAAAAAGTATAGCAAATCTGGTCTTCAAGTCGACCATTCGAGATATTTAACTGCTCGTACAAATTTCCTAGCACACAATTCTGAATGCTACAGAAACCACTTAAATCGGTGCAAAATTGAGTTTCAGGCTAACCCGAAGCAATTTTACGCTTTTGTAAACTCGAAACGGAAATCTCAACAATTTCCTTCATGTCTTCATTTCGATAATGCCTCCGCTTCCAATGAGCCTGATATCGCGAACCTGTTCGCAAAGTTCTTCCAGACTACATACTCACAAACTAATTTCGATAATAACTCAGAGTATTCTTTTCCACTCCCGCATTCCAATTGCATTTTTATGCCTGTAATCAGCGAAGATGATGTTCTTCATAATCTTAGAACAATCAAACTTTCCTTTTCCTCTGGTCCAGATCTTGTACCTAGCTGTGTTCTGAGAAATTGTGCCAGCTCATTATGTAGACCATTGTCTAGACTTTTTCAGTTATCACTTCAGCATTCGTTTTTCCCCAAAGTTTGGAAAGAATCGTTTATCATTCCGCTTCACAAAAAGGGCAGTAAATCTAATATTGAGCACTATAGAGGTATTGCAAAACTTAGTGCGATTCCCAAATTATTCGAATTTCTAATTACTACTCAGCTTCAGCACCAATGTAGCTCAATAATGTCCCCCTCACAGCATGGCTTCATGAAACGTAAATCAACGTCTACAAATCTCCTTGAGTTTGTTGCTGTCATTAGAAACGCATTTAAAAATAACACCCAAACCGATGTTATCTTTACAGATTTCAGCAAAGCTTTCGATTCGGTGAATCATCAATTACTGCTGAAGAAACTTTGTCTGTTGGGTTTTCCGGTTACGTTGATCAAGTGGATTTCTACATATTTGTCGAACCGTACTCAAAGAGTTGCATTCAAGGGTTCATTCTCAAACCTTGTTCACGTGACTTCTGGCGTTCCTCAAGGGAGCCACCTCGGTCCTCTTCTATTTGGCATTTTTATAAATGATCTGCCCCAAGTTATTCTCCACTCTTACGTCTTGATGTATGCTGATGACGTAAAACTATGTTTGCCTCTTGTGAATCCTGACTCTGCTCAGCTCTTGCAAGCTGATTTAAACAACATGATGTCCTGGTGCACTCACAATTTATTGTTTCTCAACAACTCCAAATGTAAATACATGTCGTTTTACCGCAGAAATTGTTTCCAGGCTAACTATTCCTTAGGCACGAGTGTTCTTGAACGTATCCACTCTGTAACGGATCTTGGTGTTCTATTTACCCACAACTTGAGCTTCACCGATCACATCGGTATAATTGTTGGTAAAGCAAAGGGAGTTTTTGCTTTCGTAAAACGATGGTCTAAGGAATTCGATGATCCCTACACTACAAAACTTTTATATATATCCCTGGTTCGGCCCATACTCGAATATTGTTCGTGCGTATGGTCCCCTCAATATGCAAAGTATCAGGATCTTATCGAATCGGTACAGAAACAATTCCTTTTGTTCGCTCTTCGGGGTTTAGACTGGGACCCTCATCGCCACCTTCCTCCGTATGCCGACAGACTACGCCTTCTGGACCTGCCCTCTCTTAAGGATCGTCGTACCTGCCATGGCGTGATGTTCCTGCATAAATTAATAAATGGATATATTTTTTCCAGTAATCTTCTTAAGCAAATACGCTTTTCAGTTCCTTCTAGGCCATCACGTTACTTTCGGCCTATAGCTTTGGATATTTGTAAAACTAATTTCGAGGCACACGATCCTTTTCGCGTTTTATGTTCGCTTTACAACGACATGTACTCTCTTTTATATTTTGAAATGTCATTAGACTTTAACAAAAATAATATTTTAAGACACCTATCCTTGCCTCTGACCACCTGATGTGAGTCGGAGCATATCATTAAAAAACACTCCTTATCCGGTCTGAGGTAAGGATATGGATTCAAAATGGCAGATATTTGCTATTCTTAATAAATAAATAAATAAATAAATAAATAAATTAAAGAGAGAAAAATTATATCATGCATTGCGCGAAATAAAAGTGACAAGAAAAGGAAAGAGAAGAGCCACCGATAAGCAGCTACACTAAAAGACAAATTGGTTAATGGATACCAGTGATACGTTGAGGTTGTGTTTCTGACCGCGCTCCGTCTGATAATCCTTTCTTCGGGCGGTGCCGTCGTGTATATAGCCTGAAAAGTATTCAAAGTGTAGTGCGAGGCTCCTAGTACCCTGGTACGTACCTGGTACTGCTCCTGGGTCGGCCCCCGCAGTCTTCACCGGTTGCCAAACCAACCTGGGCACTTGACCCACAGGAGGGACCCGAGGTAAGGGGAGGGGGTGTCTTCTCGCCTCTCCTCCGCACAAACGCTTTTCCGCTCTCACTTTACTTTCTTCCTCACACCTTCCACAAGCCGCTTTTCCCCGCGTTTTCTTTCCAAACGTAAACACAGCTGATCGCTCTACGATCCTAGTGTTGTTAAACGCCAGTGGAGGAGCTTCTTACAGCCGCGCTTAACAGCACAAGCATTACCAGTGTTGGAAAACGCGCGTTGCTAAGCTTTCCCGCCCTATTATCTTTTAAAAAACATTGGCGCGCATAAATAAATCGTTTGTTTACTTATTTTAATAAACAAAGTTTATTTCCCTGAGGCCGTGCACGGCTGCGCAGTCGGCTGGCGGGAAAAGGTCACGGAGCCGACCAAAATCCGATCCCCCGCGTAAGCGGTGTCCCGAGCAAGGGACGTCGGGGACCGAGAAGGGGCGGTATAACCCCCGTCGCATAGCCAAGGGGAAATCCTTGGCCAGCGTGGGAGCCCTGCGCGGACCGACAAGCCGGCCATGGAGAACGATGAAGATCCCTTTGCGTGTGGCTCGACTCTAGCGAGGACGCCCCGCCAAGAGAGGGAAGGGGATGAAGCAGAGGCCTTCAGGAGGAGCGGCAAGGTCTCCCGAACGCCCACAGCGCTGGAACCCCTAGAAGATGGGCGGAGCCCTGGGTCAAGCTCTACGCCGCCCCCCAAGAGGACGCGGGATCCTGCGAGCCCGACCAGCTCGCAAAGAACTACGCCGGCCAAGAAGAGCAAGGCGTCAGAGGAGGCAGCCAGCCTGCAGGATCTCCAGGAGCTGGGAAAGCTGCTGCAGGAAGTCTCCACGAAGATGATGGATAAGACGACGCGCCACATAACCGTCTCCACGAGGGAGCTGTTTGCCAAAATGAAGGCGCTACATGCGAGCATTCTGGCGGCGAGCAGAGCGGCAGCCGCGGGTAACAAAGAAAGGCAGGAGTGCGACGTCGGGACCAGTCTGTGCCCAAAATGCGCCCAGAGCACACGCAGCGCCGACAAGGAGCAGCAGACAGCGACCGTCGGGAAGAAGGAGGCTACAGCCCAAACAGAGCCCTGGCGTAGGCTTAGTCAGCCAAACTGGCCGGAACTACCGGCGCCTGTGCCTGCCCCTAAACCAGCCGGCGCAACGCAGCAGGGAAGTGAGAAGGGGCCCAGGAAGCCCCGAAAAAGACTCAAGGAGCCCACGCAGAGCCCGCGGAGGCACACACCGCCACCCGGATCCTCGAGAACCCCGCAAAGCCCACCGGTGAATGGAGGGTAGTCGCCAAGAAGCCGAGGGCAGCGCGCCGTGGACGACCCGATGCTGTCATCGTGCAAGCAAACGGAAAGTCTTACAGCGAGGTACTAGCCATGGTGACCAGGAGGGACGACAAGCAGTTGTCGGACCTGGGCGCCTGCGTCTCAAAGGTTCGGCGCACCAACAACGGCAACCTGCTCCTAGAGGTGGCAAAAGGGAGTGCTGAGAGCGCCGAGGAGATGAAGGAGAGCATCGAGAGGGTGCTCGGGGACTCCGCGACTGTGCGTGCGTCGACGGAGGACACAAAAGTGCTGGTTCTGGAGGTACGGAACATCGACTCCATCACCTCGAAGAAGGAGGTCTGCGCCGCTATTGCCGGCCAGTTCAACTTCGAGGCAGAACGGGTGAGAGTCCGGAGCATGCGCAGTGGCCGCGCAGAGACGCAGCTGGCGGTGGTCAGCCTGCCCGTCCCATTGGGCAAGGCAGTCCTTCAGCGCGGAGAGGTGCGAATCGGATGGTCAACCTGTAGGATCCGCGAAAGAACCGGCCCACCGAGGTGCTTCAGGTGCCTGGAAACCGGGCACATTGCGATCCACTGCAAGAACCCGGTGGATAGGAGCGTCTGTTGCATCAAATGCGGAGAGATGGGACACAAGGCGGCCGATTGTTCCAAGGAGCCATCGTGTTTACTGTGCAAGGCGGCTGGTAGCAAGGAGACGAGGCACCAGGCAGGCGGCACGGGCTGCCCAGCCTCGAACAGAGGGAAAGGGAACCGTATGCCTGCATGCAGTTGATCCAAATTAACTTGAATCACTGCAGAGCGGCGCAGGACCTGCTTCTGCAGACGGTGAGCGAGGTAGCGGCGGACGTCGCCATACTTAGCGAACCATATAAGGCGAGGGAGGGAGGAGCATGGGCGAAGGACCGCTCCGGCAAGGCGGCCCTTTGGCTCTATGGCGACGGACAGCGGCGGATGTCCAACATCCTTTCAGCCGATGGGTTTGTGCGGGCGGAAGTCAGCGGCTTCTGCATTTACAGCTGCTATTTGGCCCCCAGTCTCCCGCTGGATGCATTCAGCAGGATCTTAGACAACCTATGCAGCGACATGCGTGGCAGGGCAAAGGTTGTAGTCGGAGGCGATTTCAACGCCTGGGCCCTCGAGTGGGGATCCGTCTCCACTAACGCCAGGGGACGCGCGGTGATGGAGGCATTTGCCTCGACGGACGTAGTCCTCCTCAGCGACGGGATGAGGCACACGTTTGCCAGAGCAGGAGCCGCCTCAATAATCGACCTGACCTTCGTGAGCAGCGCAATTTCCCACGACGCTAACTGGGAAGTCAGCGACGCTTACACCGGGAGCGACCACGAGGCGATCCTATGCACCGTGGGTGCGCCGGAGGGGAACACACGCACACTGCCGCGGCCCAGGAGAGCCTACCGGCCGGACACGCTGCGCACCCAGGCATTCGCCAACGCGCTGGACGGCTTGTCAGCCGAGGCGCTGGGTGAAGCCAACGAGGCTGCAAACCAGATCGCAGCAGCCCTGGAGCATGCCTGCGACCAGAGCATGCGGCTGAGAGGGACATGTCGGAGGAATCAAAGGCCAACGTTCTGGTGGAGCGACGAGATAGCCGATCTCCGGTCCAAGTGCCTCCATGCTCGGAGGCAAATGACCCGTGCACGTGGCTCCTCTCGACTGGTCGAGTGCAGCGAAGCCTACAAGTCGGCCAGGAGGGCCCTAAAATTGGCCATAAGGGAGGCAAAGAGAGAGTGCTTTCTGCGGCTCTGCGACGAGGCGGAAAACGACCCCTGGGGCGGTGCCTACAGATTGGTGGTCAAAGGGCTGAAAGCAGGCAGCACGGCTCCTTCGGACCCGGAAGCCCTGGACTCCATAGTGCAGGCAAAGACAATAGATTTAACAAGATGCCTTACGACCATACATTCGTTTTGCAATATGAGGCTGCATTTTTGATGGCAACGACAATCGCGTTCTAAAAATAGAATGCGTTTGCTTGTATGAGTAAACACAAGAACACGCAAGCGCGTATGTGTGCGAGAATATGTGTGCGCCAGCGCGCAAGCACCAAAAAATCAAATTTTTATGTTTTGTGCTGGCGACCGCTTGTTAGGAGGCGATGCACAGTAGCGCCTCTCGAACAAATAGCTTTGCAAAAATCGAAAAAGTCATGTTCGCAAAAACGATTTTAACCATACTTATTTGACAGAACATTTCTCAAAGATTGAGAATCTGTAATAAAATCAATTAAATTTTTTTTTTAAATTCTAAGTGTAACCGCCACAAAACCGTGAGCGCTACAGTTAGCATATTTTTTTTATTATTATGCAGTACATATATATATTTTACAACAATTATCTGTCCGTTCAAATTATTAGGTTATCTTATTTGGTTCAAAATATATGATTTTTGCAACGCTAAATGAGAAAAGGCGCTACTGTGCGATAGTAGCGGCAGCAAAAACAGCTGATCTCGAATATAGATTGTATTTGTATACAAGTTCAATCCAGAAAATCAGTTAACTAAATTTTATTTTCATCTTTATGTATATTTTATAATTTTATTATTAAATAAATATGCAAAATAATACAAATAATTGATTTAAATACATTCATAATTACATATGTATTTACAATTATCTAATTCAATTGACTAATAAATTAACAATATATTATTATGATTCATACATTATAAAAAATTCATTTATAAATCAATAAGTATATAAAATTAAAGAGATGTTAAAATAAAAAATAAATTTATTTGCGAAATTGGCCTTCTGAGGCCCGTTTGCACACAAACACCCGACGGCGTCGCTGAATGCGTACAAGAGAACGGCTGGCTCTAGAGCGCTCTCTTCGCTGGCTTTTGAACAAAATTTAAGAGAGCCTGGAGCCAGTTCAAAAGCCAGCACGAAAAAATCGTGTGCAAAAAAATCGTATGGCGTTATTTATCTTATAGCTCTATTGTCTTTGGTGCAGGCACTGTTCCCGAGGGGAGCCCCGGTGGTGTTGACGCAGTCCAGTGCGGAGCGCCACCCCAACGTCGACTGTGAGGTCTCCGAGGGCGAGGTGATCCGGACGGGAAGGAGCGTTCGCCCCAAAAAGGCGCCTGGGCCGGACGCAGTACCCAACAGGGCCCTGAAGCTGGCTATCGCGCTTCACCCAAAGGAGTTCGCCACCCTATACGCCATATGCCTCCAGGAGGGCACCTTCCGGAGAGATGGAAGAAGCAAAAGCTCTTATTGCTGGCTAAGCCAGGCAAACCGCCGGGGGAGCCATCCTCCTACAGGCCTATCTGCCTTACCGACACCACTGGCAAGGTGTTCGAGAAGGTGATAGCAGCAAGGTTAAATGCCGCCATCGAGAGGGCAGGGGGCCTCTCTCCTAGCCAGTTTGGCTTTAGGAAGGGGAGGTCAACTCTGGACGCGATCGAGATGGTGAAGGAGATAGCGGAAACGGCGATCGCGGGAACGAGGTGGAAAGGCGGCTCCAAAAATTACTGCCTAGTGATAACGCTGGACATAAGGAACGCCTTTAACACTGCCGACTGGAATCGGACGCTGGAGTCCCTCGCCGCCCTGAACATCCCAGGGTACCTAATGGAGATAGCGAGGAGCTATTTCAGCGAGAGGGTGCTCATTGTGGACACGGATGTGGGTTCCAGAGCATATGAAGTCTCAGCCGGAGTCCCTTAGGGCTCCGTGTTGGGACCCTTGCTCTGGAATACCATGTACGATGGGGTTCTACGACTCCCGATGCCAAGAGACACCCAGATCGTTGGCTTCGCTGACGATATAGCTGTGGTAGTAGTCGCGAAGGAGCGGGCGGCTGCGGAGGAAAACGCGAATGGTGCGATCAAAGCGATCGAGGCGTGGCTCTCGAACGCCGGCCTGGAGTTAGCGGCGCACAAGACGGAGGCAGTCTTGATTTCGAGTAGGAAAAAGATCGTAACGGCGGAGGTCCTGGTCGGAGGGACGGCGATAAAATCCCAGAGGGCCATCAAATACCTGGGTGTCCTCCTCGATACAAGGATGTCTTTCAAGGAACACCTACAGTACGCCCAAAAGAAGGCCAGCGGGACTGTTGGAGCACTTTCCCGGATGCTGCTTAACACCAGGGGACCCAAGCAGAGCACAAGGAGGCTGCTGACCAGCGTCATCACCGCCCAATTGCTGTATGCGGCACCAGTGTGGGCTGAGGCGGCTGGGAAAAAGTCTTACATGCGGGGAATCGAGTCCACTTATAGACTTTGTGCCATCCGAGTGGCGAGCGCCTTCCGAACTATCTCGGACGACGCGGTGCTGGTGCTAGCCGGCCTGGTCCCTCTGAGGGAGCTGATCCGCGAGAAGGCGGACATCCGTGCCACGCTTCGCGGTCAGCAGGGAGTCGATACGGTCGCGAAGGCCGAGCTGAAAAGCGCGGCCAGGAAAAGGAGCTACGGAAGCTGGCAGGCCCTGTGGGATGCCTCATCCAAAGGACGTTGGACCCACAGGATGATCCCCAACATCGAGGCCTGGATGGAGCGGAAGCACGGGCAGGTAGATTTTTATCTGACCCAGGTGCTGAGCGGGCATGGATGCTTCCGTAGCTACCTCAAGAGGTTTGGCCACGACACGGAGGAAAGCTGCCCAGAATGTGGATCCGGGATAACCGAGGATGCCAGCCACGTCATCTTCGACTGCCGCCGGTTTGACGAGGAAAGGGACGAGCTGGAGACGATAGCAGGTACAGCCATCAGTGTGGACACGCTGGTGCCGCTGATGCTGGCGGACCCGAGGACATGGGAGGCGGCGGCAGAGTTCGCTGCCAAACTGATGAGATCTCTCAGGGCACTGGAGAGATCGAGGAGGGAGCAGACTGGATGAGCGGCTTACAGTTGTGCGAAGCAATGCTTTGCGGCCGTACCGCACAACCACGGGCCCTTGCCCTGTTATTTTTCTGTTTCTGTGTTACCTTAGTTCGTATTGTTGATAGTAAATAAATAAATGAATATAAAAAAAAAAAAACTA